AAAAATAATGGCTCCATTAAGCGGTCAATTTGTTCGTTTTTTTTTCTCCTCAAAATTCTTTAATTTTGCTCCATGGTGCCTTTTTCTTTTTTCCTTTTTCCAAACCAGTGACTACAGTTAATTCTTAGTACGCTATCCTCGCTACCATTTCCAGTGAAAATTCCTTCACTTCATGTAATTTCACAATTTGAACATTTTATGACCAGGATAGTTTTTTGAAACTAGTTATAATTACAAATTTTAATTTATATTCTACATACTACACCCTTCTCTATCCGCCTTGTAAATTCTATTTCATAATTAAAAACTATCTATTTATTATTCATTGTATTGTTAACGTATATATCGCTAGTTTATTGAAAAAAGTCATTAAGTAACATTTCACAACCCTAAATAATTAAGGAATTTGAAGGTTTTTCCCTTAACCAATCCTTTAGCCTTTTATTTATTTAGGGAAAGTTTTTCCCTTACATAAAAGGGCCAACCGAACCGCGGGTTTTAACCAATATTTTATTATTCTAGTGTTGCCCAAATGCGAGACCGAGACGAGTCTTGGTCTTGCAAACTTAGTCTTGGTCCTGGTCTTGGTCTAGCTTATTACTCTTGAGATATCACTGTAATTTTTAGATAGAAGAAACCGAAGTAAGATTAATTAGGGGATTTAAATGCAAAAGTATATTGGTTATACCAATTCTTTGCACATAGTTACTAAGATTGCCAAGTATTAGTAACTATTTGGCCTTAATTTTTATTCAAAAAATATTTTTTTTTACCAGTCCCCTGGTCTTGCAAAGTGAAAGAACAAGACCGAGTTTGGGCAACACTAGTCCTTAGGGAACTCCATGCTTTCTTACATAAGTCTCTCCAATACTCACCCCACTTTTAAATAACTCATATTAAATACCTTCTTATCCATCCAGTCCCTAAGCTATTTTAAATAGATGTTTCTGTAAACATGTTTATAAATTATTAGTTTGTTCTTTTTAGTTTCCTACCTATACTAGGTAAGGAAAGTAGTACAATCGGGTGAAATTTCCCATATGCGGTTTTCAGAGCCCCCTGAGTTCGAAAAACACATTTTTAGCCATTGGTCTGTGCCAAGATTTTCTCGGGAACTACTGAACCGATTTTTTTTAATTTTTTTATTTTCTAGGATTTTGGCTACTAATGCCTGTGACAGAAATTCGGTGCTCCATGCACAATAGCTTGCGCGGAATAAATGAAAAACATGTTTTTCTATAGACTGTAGCGCGAAAACGGCTCTAACAATTTTGATGAAACCTTCCTATAATGTTCTAATCATTGTCCTTTCAATTTTCGTATATAGACTAAGTTCCCGAAAAAATACAGGAAAAAAAGTTATAAAGAAAAGAAAAATGTTTTGGGGCCTAACTCCCTAAGTATATATTATACGGTAAAATTTATAATAAAACTTTTGAAAGGTAATTAAATTACCAACAAAAAAAAAATCGTTCATTTTGGACAACTATTAAAGAAGTTACAGCTATTCAATTTCCAATGCAAGATCACGGGTTCATATCCCGCTGTCAGGAAGGGGTGAATGAGAGAATAAAGATGACTAAGTGAAAGTATGAAAATCTGTTGCCCGTATCACACAATGTTCACTATTTCCTATACTTTAAACAGAAATTATTTTTTGAAAATACTAAGCTATGGCAAAAAGTTTTTGATCAGCAATATTAGTTATTTTTACACTGATCTACCTAAAACCGGTTTACATTGCTTTACTTTAGCAAATAAATCCTAACTCAGAACTTATGTTTGATCAATTTTCAGGAAAATAAATATAGTTCAATTCTTTTTGGTTTCTTCATGAACATATGTAAAGATATAAAAACTTTTCTGAAATAGGCAGGAAAGTCGTGTGAGTGGACACACCAGATATTTTTTTTTTAGAATTTATTAATGTCGGAAGTTAACTTATTATTTTTAATCACTTTTGTTATTTGATTATTATTTTTATATAGCTCTGATTCCCACTGTTTTATACTGTACACTGTTCTAAATGGACTTGTCTCAGAATAAATAAAGCATATTACTATTATTATATATATAATATTTAAATACTATATTATTATTGTGATTGCAGGAGTGTGTACCAACGGGACCGCCCCCTCGGTGAGCAGCATCAACAGGATCCTGAGGAATCGCGCGGCAGAGCGGGCTGCCGCGGAGTTCGCTCGAGCCGCTGGGTACGGCATGTACCCGGGGTACTCCCCCTGGCCCCTCTGGGGGGTGCCCCCGGCCAACGGCTACCCCCACCCCGACCACACCAGGTCACACCAAGGTACTTTATTACAATACTTTACCAGATATAATAATCAATTGGGAATATATTTATCTACTCTATATACAAGTAGTGGGCCCGTTCGAAAAATTCGCATATTGTTATCAAATGACAGATAGATAAGAAACTAAAATAATGCAACGTATCAAAAGATAAGGAAATCACTTGCAAATTACTTTATCGATAAATATAATCGACAAAGGAAACAAAAATTAATTTAAATCTTCATTAATGTTTGAAACCTTTCTTGGAACTTTTCTAAAAGTTATCCGATTTCGATAATTTTTTTTTTCCCTTTTGTAAGGAATTTAGTAATTTTTCATATAATCATGAACATAACCTAGAGAAAAGTGTTCATTTTTTTAATTATTCGCAAATAAAGTTTGTTTTCTTTCATGATTTGTTTACCTGAATTTGTGGGGTGATTGGACTATTTTGTCCGCCTGAAGGAGAAGGAAGCCTTCAAAATTGGTGGCTCAATGTTGAGATTTGGTGCAGAATTAACGATGATATGGCTTGCCGATCAAAAACACCATCGATAAATAATATAAACTCCTCCTCTCTCGATCATAGAGATATCAAGTCGACGAAATGAGACATGTACTAAATGGCAGTACTACAATTAACGCAAGATCGTGTGGATGCGACATTATCCCTTGCGTTATCTCGAAAATAGTACGTGTTAGGGCTTAAAAACGCAGGATGCGTAGGAACTATCCGGGTCTTGCTGTACGCATCAAAATATTCAAGATCCAATTTGTCCTGTATCGATCTACAGACCTACTACCGTTCCAGTATCGAAGCCTAGCAAAATGTTTGTATCGACTTTATTTATTTTAGAAAGAAAAACAAAAGTGGAGAATACGATTCCCTAACCCCCCGTGAAATTCTGAATACAACGGTACCCCATTTATGGAATTTGAACATGACAGCTTTTATTTGGTACAAAACTGATTTCGAGCCTTACCGTAATAATATATGTGGGGATACGGCAGCATTTTCTCCCCCCTCTCTAAGTAGCAATGTATATTAATGAATGAGGCTCAAAACGAAAGGGTATTTTATGAAGATGTGATTGTTATTCATTGAAATAATAAGGAAAACTCTAAACTCGGCGGTTCGATACGCAATACATTGTATTTTACATATTTTGACACTGGCATCTACAGTTAACATGATCCAGTATATTACACGAAGTACAGTACACGAAAAAATAAAATAAATAAAAAATAAGGAGTTTTACAGGTTTCCAGAGTATTTTCATGTATTTCCAGAGAAACAAAACAAGGCAGACGTTACAGAATGCATCTCTTAATCTTATTATAATTTTAAAAAGGAAGATAAAAAAAAATTAAAGAAGCCGTGAAATTCGTTAAAGAAAATGTGAGATGATGAAATTTAATTTAAATCTTACCATGAACCATTAAATTCAAGATAGCAACAAGCAACACAAATAGTTAACAAATGTGTAAAAGTGACACAAGCGCTAAGCCAAACCTCTTTTGATTTATTTTATAAAAAACTAATTGCAAACGGTTCTGCTACAAACAGTGGTTCACAAATACTAGTCTAGATAAACAATTCACACTATCATGTTTCCAATCGTTTGTGAAATGTATAAACGCGACTTAACAGACGCACAATAACCCAAAGGATATGGGAACTGCATTACACTATGTACATAACGGTGCCTTTGGGAATACTTTTCATTGAGACTTTAATCCGTAAAGAATTGGAGGATAGTAAAAAAAAAAAGAACTAAAAACCAACATTACTTATCATTTTTTGTCTGAAAACATTTCATTTTTTTCATTTCGGGCTGTGAATAGAATTTCATGGAAATATATATATATTTGTTTTGTATTGTCTATAAAAATTTATTTGCGCCTGTCAACTTATTGTTGTTAACAATCAGCTAATGTGCTGGCGATACAGGAAATAATGACTTGACACCCATGGGGAAGGAAAATACTCAGCAGTACCTCTTCTCTATCTGTTTCCAATCACTTAGGTTGTTTAAGGAAGATCTCTCATCCAAACCCTTTTTAGTCCCCTCCTCATGTTCTGAGGTATTTCAGAGGTATATACGTTTAAATTAGTGTAAAATCATTGATGAAAGATCGTTATATGTTGGTCAAATGTTGGAAGGTAGAGGTCAGTATGTAGAGTTCTGTCACGTACCAAGGTGCTTTTGTTATGAGTAATAATTTTGATTGGAAGGTTTAAAGTTTTTGTAGGTGGGTCTTTTTAAACACACCGTATATTTGTGATGAGTACGTCCATATGGGCTTAAGTAAATATCTATATGTATTCAGTTTCTGTCTTAGTTTTAGTTTTGAAGATTTAGCAAAAAGAGGGTAAAGTAGTTTAAGACTTTTGTTAAGCTTCTTATGTTTCATTTTAACATGCGGACCCCATGTCATCCTTCTGTCGAAGATGAGTCCAAGGTAAAGTACCGTGTGCGTTTAAAGGAATTTAATTGTTGTCAATATAAATTGGAGGGCAGTTGTTTTTTCGAAGAGTAAATGTTATATGTTTGGATTTGTCATGTTTGAGTCGAATTTTTTATAGTTTTAACCAATCTTGTAATTTAAGTGGTGTTATAGAGTTAGTGAGGCCTGTGTAGGATCATGGAAACATAATTAATAAACCCATACTTTACGATTATACTATTAAAAATAAACACAATTTTCTAGTATTTTATTAAAACCATATGGGTACATTCTCAAATTATTAAAATATAATTGTTATCATTCGGTGATGCCATAAAATCATTAGTTTCCCAATTAAATAATAAAAATTCGATATTTACACTACCTGATACCATCTTCGCAAATCCTTTCATTTCAGCCTCAGGTGAATCTTTCCTATGGTGTGCTCTAGGTTTCTTATAAATGTATTCCTTAACTCAGGTGAGAGAAGTAAAATCTATTTCCAGGTAGGATACATTCTGCTACAATTTTTGATGTTGAGTTGAGATCTCAAATCAAATAACTCTTGTTGAGCCATCATAACCTCTCTTGAAACTGAGATGTGATGGAAATCTATGTAGATGATAATTTTTACCGAACTACTCGAACGAATATTGAAATAATTGACCTTACTTTCCACAACACATGTTAAAACATATGCAATCATTCCGCTAGGAAGTCCTGAATGCTTTTTAACGAGTTACTCCCTTGAATGCTTATGAATTTCCTTGTAAAGATGTTTGGAAAAGGGGGTAAAAAGGAAACATCAAAGAAACCATCTCTTCTAGTGGAAACACTTGAAAAGATCAATAATATCATTGATATTTTAAACAAGAAACAAGAATTCCTGGAGAGCAAGATTCAAGCTGAAACTGCTACAATAAAGAAGAATGGTCTCAGGAATAAAAGGGTGGCTATCCAAGCTCTCAGGAGAAAGAAGAAGTTCGAACAACAACTGAAGCAAGTGGATGGGACACTTGCAACCATGGAGTTGCAGAAGGATACTCTAGAAGCAGCGAGGACGAACACGGTGGTATGCGAGACTCTCAAGTTAGCATCGGACGCCATGAAGTCTACGACGAAGAACATCGACATGGATACGTTGCATGAAATCATGGATGAACTAAACGAACAGCAGGAAGTAGCCAAAGAGATCGCGGATGTCGTCTCCAGGCCGATCTTCGTAGGTGGTGATGATGATGACGAACTGGAACTGGAACTGGAAGAGCTGGAACAGGAAGAACTAGACAGAGAGATGATGGCGATTGGAATCGTGTCGGAGGAATTGCCTTCGGTCCCTTCGGTAGCAGTCTCTGGTCAAGCATCATCGTCTGCGCAAGAGGACGAGCAATTGAAGAAGCTGAAGGAGTGGGCGACCTGACTCTCGAAGGAAGGAAGTGTTGTACGCCTTTTAACGGACGGGCCTTTGGATTCAGTCTCCTTGTTTTAAAAATAGAAAGCAATAATGAAGTTTTAAACCGACCTTTTTACTGCCATATTGATTAAAATTTAACTAACTAACACAAAATATTACAGTTAAATTAAAAAAACATCTGTACAAAAAAAGTTAACATTATCATTATATAAAAAAACTCAACAAATTATTACACAATGGTTTATTATTTCTAAACAATTATTTATCAAATACGTGTAGCATAACATACGATTTTCTTTATAGTTTTGGAGAAAAATAAAATATAAATGTTATTTATTAATATTAGCCAGCTTAAGAACATTTTCTTTTTATTTCTTGGAAGGCAAATAGGCCACTTTTTTCGTTTTAATCAAAAAATAAAAACAAAGAATATCGGCTTCGCATCAGAACAATTGTTGAACGTATACAACTTCCTATATCTAATATAAATGCACAAAATTGTCCAATTTTGAAGATTGTTTGTGGGAAGAGAGATTGAACAAAAAAATGTATACTTCTTGATGTATTAACAAATAAAATTCTGCATTCTTCGTAAATTTTGTTCCAGCTTTTTTTTGAGAAAGTATGTTTTATACATATTTACACATATACATATAGCAGAGATTTTGAATTATGCAAGTTTCATTAAAATAGCCACAGTGGTTTCAGCGTCATATTATATAGCGAAACAGGTTTTTCGGCTTTCACAATGAAACGAAAACTCAATTGTAATGACGAGTTCCGAAGATTTTCTGGGGGTGATCTCTGACATTGATATATAATTTTAAAACAATGGGCTCAGTACTCACGAAGAAATGCCGCGGGCAGCGTACACATTTTTTACAGAACCAAAACTTTAAATATTTAAACAATTGAAATCAAAAGTGGTGTGTCATTTTAATAATATTCCTTACCAAGAAGTATCTGTTATTATTCTAAACTTACCTTTGTGGACTTTCCCCTAAAGTGGTGAATACATCAAAGCTTCTGTTTTAACTTATATTATTTTTTAATTCAACAGTTCATAAAATTGCCAAATTTTTACACAAAATATTAGATTTACTCTGTGATAAAAAAATCATTGATATGCGTTATTATCAATTTAATTTTTAATGGTGTTTTTTGTATTCATTGGCAGCATATGTTTAGTCAAATTTTTAAGGAAAATGTAATATATTGTAATTTTTTAAAATAAGTTTTTGTAAACAGCAAATAAATCGTTGTAGTTTCAGATGAGAGTAATAATCAGTTTATAAAATGTAACATAGCTACTTACTGAAAAATGCGTTCAAAACAATGTTGCTATTGAGGATAGGAAAATATTTTTTTTTTTATTATTGATATTTACAACTGTATTAAATGATAAATACAACAAGTAAATATGAAACACGTAACATGAAATGTACAATATCAACAGAAACTACCCATTGGTAGCGCTCCAGACACCTCGGAAGGTTATCAGGAATAGAATAGGAAGCAAGTTTGGAAACAAGAGGGTTCGGATGGTTCAGAAGTTTATTATCGAAGGACAGGTATCAGGATTGAGCTAAATCGGAAACATGTGGAACATTAAGGTCGATGTGGATGATTTTTTTTGTGACAAAGTAGGGAGTATTGAGGATTTTACGAAGGATTTTGGATTGTAGGAATGGGATACGAGAGGAATTTGAAGGTTTAGTAGGGTCCCAAAGCTCGATCCCGTAAATCCAAATACGCCTTATTATAGCAATATACAGGAGTCTTTTGTAAATAGTTGAAAGTTTAGAGCATTTGTCTAGTAAGTGCTGCAGTAGTGTAAAACGTCGAGCGGTTTCTAGTCGTTTCACTCTGGTATGGGGGTGAAAATAAATATTAAAATTAAAACAGGATAAAATTTATTCCTCGTAACTTAAAATTCAATTTAAAAGTCATATATTTTTTTTCCTAATGTGATACTGATGTTCATAATCTTATGAAATGCCACTTGTAAGCATAGAATATGAAAAATATTTTAGATAATACCTTTATAATTAAAATCTTCAACTTCTCTCCTACCTTGATGATATTTACACATTTCTAACGTCTCTATTACGCAGATATATCTGTGGGATAAATTCATTCTGGTTTAAATACAATAAAAAATTATTTTATTATAAATATTTGATAGGTATAACCATGTAAGTAATTATTAAATAAATATATCTAGGTTATATTTTCTGTAGACGGCAATATTTTTTTATTAATTAAAACAGGAGATTTAAAATATTATATTATAGAAATTGAGAGAATTACCGTTCAAAGGGAACCAGTCAACAATAAGTGGCTAAGCGACAAAGAGCCGATCTTTATATAATCGATAGTTCGGTAGATCGATTCCCCTCAGACAACTGTTGGTCGAGATGAGACATTATAAGTGATCGGGGTGGGGATAATAGCCGACCAATAGAATAGACCTAGCTAGGGGGTAGCTCGTGTTAAATCGTTTACCCGCTATCCAACAAAGGCCCCGATAACTGGAAAATTGCCTGGCATTATAGCCCTCTTTTCGATACATCGATAATAAATTGTACAAGTATCGAGTGTGGTAGTTATTGTCATCCCATATTTGCTCCACTATAGCCACTTCACCTCCTCATTAATTGACTTGATATGGTAACAAACACTATTGGACTCAAGAAATATAATATTAGATAAAAATTCTGTAAATAGGAATCTCCTAATTAAACAAACATCGAACACAATTATTGGATGCTTGATATTAATTGCACAGTGTACGAAAAATCAACTTCAACTTGAGTTAATTATATCCAACATGCGGTATTTCTCGTATTTCATGATTTTGACCCAAGTCGTTTCCTGAAGAATATTTATATTATAGCGAAAAATGACTATTAAATGTTTATTCGTGATTTAATATTAAAGCCATAATAATATTTATAAAATAACATTTCATATATTGAATCATATTTAGTCAAAATAATCGTTTGTTAAGCCTGTCAAACAATTATTATTTTACCGCTTTAATCATTTGGTATGTTAACTAATCTTGCTGGTTTCAATCTTATTTTTTTTTAGAAATTATTGCGCTTACAACTAGTTGTCTATATTTTTCTCTAAACTATGACACGGATTGAGAGAAAGTGATTGCTAGGCTAGGATCACAAAGTGCCCGGTCGGAAAGTTGTGGGTTAGATTCCCATCAGATGCAGTTAAAGTTTGTTTCTTGGCGGTACTGAGAAATAAATCTTAACACTCCCTCTTTGATTAGTGCATAAAAGAATCATAAGACCCACATTCTAGAATAGTTTTTCACACAAGTACAAGAACTTATCTTATATATTTATTCTCCTTAAAATTTCTGTAATAAAAAAAAAAAAAATAAAAATCGCCTCATAGGGTTGTTTATTCACACATAATTAATTACTTTTGAGGGGAAAAAAAGGAATTACAACTAATAATTTTAAGCTATTTTTTTAGTTTCCTACTAATAAACATATTTTAAGTTGACATCATAACGTAATTGAATTACACACATGAGATATCAACCAATGGAAGCACTCCATAAATTGTTTTAAATAAGAAGATCACGAAGCCATTTTTTTTTTAGACACCTAGGAGAATTATCAGAAATTGAAAAGAAATAAAGAGTGAAAACAAGTGAGTTCGGATAGGACTGAAGTTTACTATGAAAGGATGGGTATCAAGAACAAGCCAAATCAGCGACTTAAAAAAAAAAAATTAAATTTGTTTTATAAACAACAAAATTAATATACATAATTGTATAACAAAAAAAAAATTTAAATAAAGATAGCAAATTTTATATTGTGTTTTTTTTTTTAAATACAAAATTAAGACATCTTTTATAGATCGATACTAAGCTTCTCAATACAAAAATATCGGTAGTTATTCCCTCGGGCGGAAGAGCTCTTTGGAGAGGCGAGATTGCGCACACCGACATAAATAGGTACCTCGCCGGCAGAGAGGGCTGATTAACGATATGTTTACGATGTCGTATATCCTGGCCAGCTGTGAATGGGAGGATAACATATTTCGTTCGATATAAACAGCTCCAACGGTGGCTTCGATAATTTACAAACCTGGCTCCCCGGCGTCCCTGAATATCATTCATCAGGAGATAATCCCGATGAGTTGCGAGCGATACACACTTAGTCCATATTTACATAGCCTCGGATCGAAGCCTTTATCGATTCCCGAATAAGAATAAAATATATCGATGTGCAATTATCGATGTGTATGTAGCCTCTGAGGAGAGAGAGAGAGAGAGAGAGTTCCCTGGGCTTGTGTAAAGCCTTGTATATTAGCGATTCACATGCAACGGATAACAATCATAATTGTATTCAATTATCCTTGCTGTACTAAACGGAATGAAAGTTTCGATTCTCTCTGCAAATCTTACAGTGATTAATATTTCTAAATTAAATATTCAAATGAATTTTGATTTCATATTAAAAAAAAAATAAGAAAAAATCATAAAGATAATAAAAATATTCTTTATATATCTACTCTGAATGACAGAAAAAAAGATCATTCTCAGTATCATTTTTGGTTTTTTAGGCTAACAATTGAAATTTCGTTTGATAATTATCAATTATGAATAATGAAAAGTTTTATGCAAAAAATAAAAATATATACAATTATATGGAGCTGAATAGTTTGTTAATGCGTTAATTTCAGCCCACTTTAATAAAATTTTTTTTGCAAATTTTAGAGCTTTACAAATTCAAAGCAGGCATTATGACACACATTAAGAAATTAGTAAACATAAACGTCAACCAATCTGGAAAACTCTATTATAGTTTCCTGTAAATATCGCTTGCTTAATAAATAAAATACTGAGACAAACTTATAAATATATTGGAATCTACTTTAGACAAGAATATTTCAGGGATTTAAGGTATTTTTCTTTACGCGTTCTTACATTTAGAAGCTGAAGTTCATGAGCTATAATACCTTCGTTTTACAAAATTATATTTTTTGATTATTTAATTATTAAGTTCAGTTCCTCACACAGGATGAAATATGGACAAATTACAACAAAAAAATGTAGATTTTGAGACTTTTCCTCAAAAGACCTTACCGCCTTGAATCCGTTAGTGCACAAAAGACAAAAGTAATTGAAAATATCAATAATGTTCAAGTTCTTTAAGTTTTCTTCAAATTGCTCTCGTTCGATCTTCACTGGCTTGGGACCAGTGACGGGGTTGGGAGAATAGCGCAAAGATCTCCTGGAGTACTGCTTTTCCCTACATATTTTGAGTCAAGGCTTGGGAACTAAGTCTTGGTCCAAGCATGGCTTGGAGTTTCCTTGTTTGATTGCGAATATTACATATATGTCTGTATTTTTTTTCAATTATCTTATCTGAAAGTTATTTCATTTACTTTTTGATTATTATTTACTTGTTAATTTCCTTCTGTTTATTTAATTTTTTTTTATATTTTCTGGATGTGTAGTGTGGATGTAGTATTATATTACTATTACGAATTCTATGAAACAAAATGTAGTGGTCTAAGCAATCAAGTATGGACTGCACTTTTTAATATATACCGCCAAACTGATGAAAATGTTTTTAAAAGATAATTATTACTATTTTACTTACAATTTATTTTATGAACCAGGGTTAAAAATATTTTAACAAAACCTATATTCTTGAAACAAACAAAATAAATAAATAAACGTTATAAGCATAAAGCCATATTTTAAATGTTAAGCCATAAGTTAAAATGTATTCTGTCAATACTTTTTTTGCGTTGCTTCCTTTGTTTTCCACATAAATATTTTAAAAATAAATCAGTTCTAATTGATCGTTTTCTCACTGGTATATTATATATATATTGTATATATCTTTTACCTAATTATGATACACATGCATTCATTATAGTACGCAAAAGTATATTTAAAAAAACAAAAAAATTCTATTTTCAAGTGAAGGAATACAGGAATTTAGATAGACTTAGTAACGGCTGTCATTATCTTCTGGTGGCTGCTATGATATACGGTGCTTCCTAAAAACAGCGACCACTTAAACGATCGGTGAGGTGTATGGTCGGTAGAACATCTGTCCAAGAGGGTAAACACAACGGCGTACACCTGCCGACAAACTGGCCACTTCCTCTCCCCAATTAGCTATAGCAGTTTGTTTACACTCCTATCACAATTAGTAGTACATCATTCATCACTCTTCACTAGTCCATTCATAACTTTCATCATTCTTCTCTTGGAGGCTACTTATTAACTAAGCGATAGTGAATAATTTATGCGGGATATAATAGGTCTCTAATAAATTTGAGAGTGTTAACAGCCGGTAAAATTATATCAATAATTAGTATAGATGTAATCTATATTAGTATAGATATAATTAATTATTATATTATCCTCCTACTAGACTGAAACTACAAGAAACCGCTCGAGGTTTCCGATTACTTCAGCACTTACTAGACAAACGCTCTAAACTTCCAATTAATTACAAAAGACTGTTATACATGACTATAATAAGACCTGTTAGGATTTACGGAGTTGAGCTAAGTTGGGGCTCCACTAAACCATCGAATTCCTCTCATATCCAATCCTTACAATCCAAAATCCTTCGTAAAATCTCAATGCTCCTTACTTTGTTACAAATAAAACCATTCATAATGACCTTAATGTTTCAGATCTGGCCCAATCCAGATACCTACCCTTCCATAATAAACTTCAGAATCATACCAACCCTCTAGTTTCTAACCTTGATTCCTCTTCAATTCCTGATAACCCTCCGAGGCGTCTGAAAAGAAGATGACCTCCATGATCTCCTAATGTAGACATATCATTGCGCTATAGTACTACCATTGGATAGTTTCTCAACAAGTGTTTCAAGTTATTATATCGATATGTTCCAATTTACTAAATGTATTTCTTTAATACAGTTGTAAATATCATTAATAAATTAAAAAATAATTATTATATCATGAAAATGACAGAACTAATAGTGTTCTGTCGTTTTCATGATATAGGATAGGTTTAAACAAATAAAAAAAAAAATTATAAATTACAAATTTGACTATAAGTGAACTCAAAACTATAAAAGAGACATGAAGTAATATGGATATTAATGACCTACGAAACAAACTTTTTTTAAATATAATTTATTTAAATATAATGTTTTTTTTTAAATATAATTTATTTCTAAAAGTTTAAATTTACTATTAGTAATAAATGACTAAGCAATCGACAAGTAAAATGAAACCCACAGAGCTGTTAGACAAAGCAATAAACACCTCCATGCATTTAGTAACCACACAAACATTTCCTGGACAGCTCCAAAACCAACAAAAGCTTTGTGTAAACGTGAACACCACTACCTGACTATCTCCAAGTGCCCACTGATACAAACGCCCACGTGACAATTGTGAAGAATCGAAACGTAATGGCTACATTCACTTACGATTTAGTCAATGTCCAATGTCATATTACGAGGCTTACTGGCCTTATTAGTACATAATATAATATGATAATACTAAGTTAAGTATAATATATATAAATATAATATATATGGGGTGAGTCAGGAGGAATAATCCAAATTACAGTTGGGTCATTCTTATATTATTTGACTATTTAGAATTTCTGAATCTAGCAATACGGAGTAAGGAATATATCAACTTCTTGAAGAAAAAAATATTTCAAATATTAGTATAGATATCCTAGATGACAAAATTGAGCTTCGATAGTCAGTTTTTTTAACATTTTTTTTTCCTCTTCATATTTTATCTACACCTATCATAGTCTTGACAATAAGCAGATGAGATTTTAAAGTAAAGGAAATTGGCATTTTAGGCATGAGGAAGAATAGTCGTCAGCAGCACCTCTTCCTGGTCTTGGTCTACTTCATAATTTAGGAAAGGAGATCTCTCATCCAGCTCCTCTTTAGTCGAAATTTAGGTGTGGCCATGTCGTTGTAAGTCAGTTGAGATGTCCGTGTAGTTTAAGATGGAATCAGGAGTAGAGAGTGTTGAGAGTGAGTATGTGTTGGTCGATAGTTGGTTGTCGTAAGTCGGTATGTAAGGTTTTGTTGTTTATATGCCAAGCTGAAGTTGTTAGTCTTGAAATTTTGGATTGAAATGATTGTACTTTTTGTAAGTAACATTAGATCTATTTTTTATTGTTTAGTTAATTTTTTTTACCACAACCTAATTATTATGGACTTACCAAACGAGGATCTTTTTCTTCAACCAGTTTAAATGAACAAATTTTACTAGTATATTGCAAATAAATAATGACTATTAATTTATTAAAGATAAAAGTGAATTATAAATATTTCATGTCAACATGAGAAAACTATAAATAAAAAAAAAATTATATCCAAATACTCCTGTTCTCTGAATGTTTATAATAAAAATACTGATATGATTAATTGATAGTAGGAACAAATAAATGATATTAAATATATACGAATAGTAGTAACATTGGTTACGTTTTCATAACGAAATCGTTATGAATCGCTGATTCAACCAATCTCCTAATTTAACCAAATGTTTGATGGATATGAAAGCTTAACCCTGAATAAATGTCTTGAACCTATCTTGGAGGCCACCTTTGGTCTACCGCGACCAATCAAATGGACAACTGACGCCAATGTTTAGAAAGTCGAAGATGTCTAGAAGTCATTGGTGGTATTTTTGAACATTTATTAAAATAAGAATTCGATAACCAAAATGGTAATTCATCAAGGAAATATTCTTTATTTATGAAATTATATTTATTTAAGTGAAAAAGTTCATAGCCGCGTTTTGCAATTTTTATGTGTGCAATCACACACTTTTTGTTTCTAGTATGTCAGATCGTGTAAAAATCGGACTTCCATGCTGTAAGCGAGGGAATTGTTCTGCATGTTATTATATCTGTAATAGGATATTATTCAAAATTATGTCTTAACGAAAAACGGTGTTAGAGAGGCGAAAAGGAAAAAATAGTTCTTAAATCAACTGATGAGGAGTTTTATTAAAGATACGGATTAAAATATCCCAGAAACTACTAATGGGACCTGCATCCTGTAAGCGAGTGAAATTTTCAGCATTTGCTCTTTTTATATTTCATATTCCTATATATTATTTCTAAAAGGTGTTTTTTTGTCGGTACACCATAACTTCGTCAATTCTTCATCAAATCTAATGATTGACCACTCATTTTGAAGATATTTTTCTCCTTCAGATGCGAAAAATAGTCCCATTCTCCGGAAATTCCTGATAAAAAAATATGGAGGAAAAAAAACTTTATTTGCAATTAACTCAAAAGTATGCATCATAATTTAGAAAGATTACTAAATTACCTACAAAAAAAATCGGACAATTATTAACAAAGATACAGTCCATTAGTTTTGTTATACTTAATAATGTCCTGTTTAAAGATATTGCATTTAGGAGTAGAATAGTCTACTACATTTTTTTTCTTGGCTTTTATATTAAGTTTATTATTTTTTAAAGAAATTTGGTTATTCTTACATTTTTTTTTAAAAATAATTTAGAATGATCGGAGCATTATTTTGTCTTTATTACTTTTCTTATATTTCCAGTCAGCAATTAAAAATAGGTCCTACCAAAGCAATTTGTATAAATATTTTGGCTTATTATGTTTAATGCAATATTGTAATCAACTAAGGAAAAAATATTAATTCTTTCCTTACATAATACATAGGAACTACTTATTTCCATCTTGTTTTACTATTTCTTCACTAAACAAAATTTTCTGAGAATTTTTCGTACGGTCCAACTAGTAAATTTATATTTCCTATTATTACTTTCCCCTTGTTGATATTTCCACTTCTCTCGTGTGATCAAAATCACACACCTCATTTTTTTTTTTAAATCAATCAATACAATTCAAACAAATAGCCAAGATCTTGTAGTCTTCATAAATAAAGCTTTTTTCTTCATTCATGGTTTAGTTACCTCAAGAAATTCTTCAATAATATTCATTTATTAACTAAGATTACGGTAAATTAGCAATAAAATTTAAACAAATGAAAATCGGAAATTACTTGCCTGGGTTCAACCCACTCCTGGAGGTTATACATGTCTGCTAAAATCTCTTAATGTTCATTAGTACATCTTTTTTCTTCACCCTTGATAAGACATGCTTCAATACTAAGCGTACATATATATTGTTACAGAAGGCGAAGGAAGCGGCAAAGACGATGAGAGCCTGGGCAGCGGAGGCGAAGAGCAGCCCAAGTTCAGGAGAAATAGGACGACCTTCTCCCCGGACCAACTGGACGAGCTGGAGAAGGAGTTCGACAAGAGTCACTACCCCTGCGTCTCCACCAGGGAGAGGCTGGCTGCCAAGACATGTCTGTCCGAAGCCAGGGTCCAGGTAGGTCACGCTGTCTGTTAACTTGGATCCATAATATGGGTTGAAATATTATATTAAATTAGAAGTGCTATATGTGCATGCTGGGGGCGGGGTGGCGAGCGGGCTAACGCAGGCTGCCTGGCAACCCGATAGTCAATCTACAAAGGACAAAATAATTACGATTTCGCGTCCCTGTACCGAAGGGTCTTTTAACTATAGCATTAATCCTCCGCCCTCACCTCTTGATCCGGGAAAACCCTGTATGGCCTAGACGGCGAGGAAGGGGGGAACAAAAAAAAAAAAACAATAAAACTTGTGGATACTGATCATGTAAACTGAATATGTTACTGATTTATTTATTATATGTGTATTTTGAATTGCCAGAAATCAGATACAATTTAGTTCGTAAAATTCTTCGTAATATTACTTTTATTTTTAATCAAACGCATTATTAGACTTTACGTTAGAAACTAAAAAAAATACTTTAATTTATTTTTTCATATTTGAACTTATTACTGTTATGATTAAATAATATATAATGTTTTCAAAACCATAAAAGTCATACACGCCTTACTCATGAATACCTGATGGGCCGAGATTCTTCGCCAACATGCCAAACCTATGGGACTTTTCTTACAGTAAAACATATTTTAACATAATGCAGAGCTTACAAAACATTTAGACTATCTTGTTACTTGACAAAAGATCTACACTTCATTTTACAGAACAACACGCATGAAATTGATAAATTATATTATTTTCTCAAATGTTCTAAACTCAAAAAAATAAAAAAATAAGGTAATAATGACCCTAGTGGTTGAAGCCTTAAAATAAAATTTAAAAAACAACAAAAAAAAACCCATAAAATTCAGAATATCATCAAATTCAAAAAAAGTTTAAACAAATATGATTTTTTATACTAACCGTTCCCGGATCGCTCCGATTATCAAGCGAAGAATTATTTTCTGAAATCTTTCAATACTTCTTTCTAATGTACTGGTTAGTGTATAAGTCTCTGAGCTGGCTTGACCATAATATCGTACACTGTTAATTTCAGAAGTATAGAGATTTTTCGGGATTTCAATACTTTGGATTAGACAGAAGTAGTGTTGCCCAAATGCGAGACCCAGACGAGTCTTGGTCTTACAAACTCAGTTTGGTCATGATCTTGGTCTTGCACAAGAGTCTGGCAACAGTCTTACAGTACTGTATTTTGTAGATAGGAGAAACCTAACTAAGCCTGAATGAGAAATTAGAGGAATTAAATGCAAAACTATGTTGGTTATACCAATTATTTACATATAATAACTAAGATTGTCGAGTATTAGTAACTATTTTGCCTTAATTTTTTATTAAAAACATCGATTTTTTTTACCAGTCCTGGTCTTGGTCTTGCAACAGCTAGGCGGTCTTGGTCTTGGTCTTGCAAAGTGCAAGACCAAGACCGATTTTGGGCAACACTTGACAGAAGAAAACTCAGTTTTCAATTATTATACTATTTCTAACCACAGTCATTCTTAGAGGTAATAATGGAGCAGATGTTTTTAGATTTGTCTACTCTAGGAAACAATTTCTCTTCTTTGCAGATCCTCTTGTTGGGGTGAATATCATCATATATTTTGTTTTATCTTCATTTTTCTTGTTGGTTAGATTTGTTCAGATTTGCTTGTTAGAGTCTTAACGAGATCCTCAATGTCCTCTTAGTTACCTTTAGAATGAGTTTATCATCTTCATATTCAAGCATTGTATGATTCATCCTTTATCTGACTATGAAAGTTATAATATACATATAACTTGATATATATTATTGAATCAGGTACAAAAGCTTTCCACCGAAATCCTTTAAATCAGTCTAATACCTTCATTCACAGCCATAATTATATTTTATTTTATTTCTAAACCTAGAATATTTTATAATTTATTAATTTTACTATAGCTTCAGACAGTGGACAACCTAAAATATTCAAAGAGAGACATAGTTAGCCGCCAGTAATCCGACACTGACTCAGACAATAGCTACCACGGTCCGACACCTCCTCATTGTCACAGCTTCTGTTTTTGCGAATAAGCGATTCCTTACTGGCTCTGCCTAAGAGTGAGCATGGCATATAATGCCGGATTGCGTTTCAACTTTTCAGAGGATAAATAACATTCTGGCTTTGTCTCCTTTCACTCGGTAAAATTATTATATATTTTCGTATAAATACCGTGTCTCTATTGTATTAACATAGTACATATAACAAAAGCTGAGATTACTATACTTAGTGTTGCCAAAAATCGGTCTTGCACTTTGCAAGACCAAGACCAAGGCCGCCTAACTGTTGCAAGACCAAGACCAGGACTGGTAAAAAAAACCGATTTTAAAAATAAAAATTAAGAAAAAATAGTTAGTTACTATATGTTAATCATTGGTATAACCAATATATTTTTGCATTTACCTCCTCTAATTATTCATTCGGGCTAAGTTAGGTTTCTTCTATCTGGAAAATTACAATAATATCTCTATAGTAATAAGCAAATAAGTAACTGCAAGACCAAGACTCGTCTCGGTCTCGCATTTGGGCATCACTAACTATAACTCTACTTCGCCTAAGTCTAGTAACTAAGAATTGTGTATCATAACCGTTTCCTAGATTACTTGTTTGTTATTTCTAAACAGAAAAAGATAAAAACAAATATTATTTTTGGTTCTTGTACAATTATTCATTAATGGTGGAAATATGGTTGTATGAAGCTCATGGCGGATATTAATGTTCAGGATCATCCTAGGATGTTTTCTGACGAGGGGACTGAATCTAAAAAAGTATCTACACGTCTCGGAGGAAAACCTCTGACAGAAAGATTTTTTATTCGATTTTTGTATCATCCGTACTTTTAAACGTAAAAGCTCAAACTTTCTATCCATTTTCATTTCCTATTATTAACTTGTTTTTTTTTTTATTCATTGCCGATTATTATAGTTTATTGCTTTCAATGATGAACCTTTGTAATCAACTAATAAAAATAGATAACCCTTTCCTTACATCAAAATGTTAGGTTTTATTTTCGATATTACATAGGATCTGGTAATCGAATGAAAAAAAAGTTCTTTATTTAGTTACAGAACCTTTGTGTAGTTGTCCTAAGAAGTTCAGAAATTTCACTGTTTTAGACTAAGCGTCAAACCGTTCTCTTCAACGCTAAAAAAACCTTCTTCTCAGAGACTTTTAATATTTTATAAATATCAGATCTCTGAGAAAAAAAAACAGGTGGGTAATTTATGACGGAAAAAAACATATTTAGGAAAATATCATCAAAACTCTATATTCATATACTTTTTTACAAATATTCCTATAGGAACCGTCTAACTTTTGTTAAGGGTTTCCGTAACACTAAAATTATACTTCAACGGAAATATTCACGATTCTCATTTGGAATAAAATGTAATTATTTAAACTAATAATAATTAATCCATATAAAAAAAAATCATGGACAAATATTACCAATTATATTTGGTATTAGATTTTGATATAAGTGCTTGAAACGGAAAAAAAACTTACACTTTTAAAATGTTTAGGTATTACCTGAATTTTTACTGTCGAAAGTTTTTCAGTTCTTTTGGAACTATAACTTTTTCTCTTACAACTTTTCAATTAAAGGTTTTACAGAACTTTTATTTAATTAAAAAAAAAATAATTGAAAGGTTTTGTCAATTTCGCTAAAAAAAATTACTTCTGGTCACAAGTGAGTTCTAAAAAATGATTTCTATTTAGTAGATACAGACAACACATTAAAAGCACATGTAATTCATTTAAGACAAATTATAACTTTAATCTAAGCAGAATTACTGTTTATTTTCCATTTAACGGATTTTAAAAAAAACAAACTTGAATAAATACAAATTAAATTTAGATTTGTATTTAAAGTTACATTTACTATAAATCTAGAACTTTATTACAAAAATTTCTTATAACTTCTATTTTGTGTATTTATATTGAAAAAATATTTATATTTTGGCTGGTATGGCACCTTTGTTTTTTGTAGAGAGTGAATTAGATTGAACTAGATTGAACCATCAGATCTTCTATGTGTAACGTTCGTTCAAAATCGGCTGGAGTCGACTAATTGAAGTGATTTTTCATATAGATTAAAATATCTCAAAAAGTAAAAATCGACCTGCATACTGTAAGCGAGAGAATTGTTCAGCATTTCATCCTCTCTGTAATTGAGTATTATTCAAAATTGTTATTTTAACGCGACGCCGTGTTAGAGAGACAAAAAAGGAAAACATAGTGTCGAAAACTAAAAACCGGACCTGCATACTATAAGCGAGGAAATTGTTCAGCATTTCATCCTCTTTATAATGAACTATTATTTATTATTTATATTTCATATTATTAATCTCACCTTGTTGATGGATGTTTTCACTTCTATCGTGTGGTCTAAAGCACACACCTTAGTTTTTTTTATTTGTGTTTTCTCACTGACTGCAGTCTTAATTTTGTTTAGAATTTCATATTATTCCAGGTTGTTCGGCATGCTTTAAAAGTTCTCACGATTATTTGATTTGCTATTAAGACGGTCTTCCAGAAAAGACACAAAAAACTAAACGAGTTCCCCGTTCTTGTATTATTAGAGAAAAAACTACTCTAAAATATTTCCATAATGTCGATAAAGCTTGTAGCTCTATTCAGGCAGCAGTTTAGAAGGTCCGAGGCGAGCTATCAAACCCACGCACTCGAGACACCAAACCAGCTCGCGCAGCTCCGATGAAGACATAACCGTAGCGCACCGTGTTCCCCTGCCTCTTGGAATAATCGACGCCTTGGTCTTATTGTGAGCTCCTTCTATAATGGCGGTTTAAACTGTTATTTATATCGTTAAGTAGCGCTTGTCCCGGCCGGGCCATATTTCACAGGTAGCGGATACGCCCACGGGTTTCTCCAACCGCGCATGTTATAATTCTCCACAGCCCTTGGAATAAAAATGCATCCTGACGGAGTTAAATGGAGACATTGCCCGTCGACTGACAAATGGAGTTTCCTTGTATCGGGGGTGCATTATCGGATAGCAGAGCCACTGAAGAGTCTCTCAGCTCTCAATAAGAGTCCCTCATCCCCGACTCTCTTCGCCTTATCTCCTCTATATATATATTACCGCCCGCCTTCGGACTACTTCGAAGCTCAACAACGGGTTCCACTCACAGGCTCTCGTGTTACCATAAAGTACCAGGTGACTTCGGGATAAGTTAAGTCGTCATTGAGTCCGGTCGCTTAAAGGACTTATTTTATTTTTCGTCCTTGGTTACGTAGCGAAACATCCAATCGAAAAGGTTGAAGAACGACAAGTAAACATAAACGAAAAATAATGTTAGCGCCTACAACATTGTGAGGATCCACATTCTGCGAACCATTAAATATTCCAATCACGACAATTTTCTTCCTAGATATTTTACTCAGGGAACATCTGGTGCATCCAGTCACACACGAGCACCCAATCGATTTTAAATAAATTTATTCCGTTTAAACATATATATTCAACCTGTAGGTTAAGACCTCAACGTAATAGTAATAATAATTTTTTTTTTTTTATAAAATATTAAGCCAAAGATCACCAAATGCACACAGTTTTCACTGGTTTCAGTGTTCAAAATACATCCTCATTAGACACTTATTTTGAACTATAAAAACTGAATTAAAATTAGTTTACAGAATCTTGAAAATGGCTCCTGAAGCCGAGACGTCGAATAAATAATATAGGATGTAAAAACTGTGTACATTTTATTACATTACACTAGAAAAGTAATAATAAACCTTTCCTACTACTGATAATAATAGTAAATATAAATAATAAATTTTTTATTGCAGTAGTCCTACTATTTGTCTTTCTATGCCAATGTTCCAGCCCGTAGGCCATTTTCAAGGGAAGAAACTTTTAACATTTGTTTATTGCTTTTATTTGTAATAATATAATCATCACAGCGCAATTGTATTTTCATTATTAATTATTCAGCATTAATTATTTTCATTTTATGGTTTATATTATATACATATTTTATACAATTAAAATCAATGTGGACTGAATGGCCCTTGTCAGTTTCATTTAATTAGTCGAACACTAAAACCTTACTCTATAAGGTTATGTTAATATTAAACTCGTTACATTGTAAAAAATTCTAAAATTAAAATTTACTTTATTAAAACTATATTTATGTATTGTTAAACCAGTTCTAAAACTTATATTAAAATAAATACAATAACATACCTATTATTAACTCGCCCATTTAAAAAAAACGTCTGCCAAGTAAATTCAATATAGCTATACTGAAGCTATACGGAAGTTTCCTCACCGTTTTACCGTTTCCATTGGCTAAATAATTGCAAGATCTATAATTATTCGTATATGAATGAAATCTCTGGGAGAAGCCGTTTTCGGACTAGAGGATAGAATTTGATGAAATTCATACATACTTGATTATCTATTCACCAATCACTAACTTCTCTCCTAATTTGAGCCAAATCAAACGGACGATTTTAGAGATATATACGTATCAAGAAAAATACGTTTGCGCATATATAAGAGAAATTAATGGGCAAAATTCAATAAAATCGACACTACATTATTTCTTCACCGATACCTATCTTTTATCCAACTTTGACTCAAATCGAATTAGCCGTTTCTGAAATATTGGCATATCTATGACAATACATTTACGCGGGCGCAAGGAAGTGGTGGATGGAATTCGATAAAATCGCGCTTGATATTGCATAATTGTGATTACTTTTTCCAAACGCCTTAGCCAGATAGAACATACCGATCTATATTAATATTTTTGGATAAACAATGGATTCAGTTATTTCTTTACAACCTAATTCCTAAGTAAGCATGATGTTATATGTTCGGCTGGAATTAATTTTATTTTTTATTTTCCAGGTCTGGTTCTCGAACCGACGAGCGAAGTGGAGGCGACACCAACGCATGAACGCCCTCAAGTCGCAGGCCGCTGGAGGAGGTGGCGGTGACTGGAGGACGATGGGAGGCGAGAACTCCGCCTTCAAGGCTCCGGACAGGATGTCGGACACCTCGGAGGAGATCAACGTGACGGATTCCGAAGAGGAGTCGCGGCAGGGTTCGGAAGCAGCGGTTCCTCTTCATCGCCATTCACCTCCTCAGCCACAGGAACAGGATCTCCCTCGGCTAGCACCTCCGGCCGATCTAAGGGCGTCCATCGAGAGCTGGAGGGAATCGGCCCTCAGGGCAGAGCCTCTGCAGCTGACCAAGTACGACAGGGATCGTGCTCTCTGAGGGGGTTCAAATCTTCCCGTCTACGTCTCGACTCGTCAATATTCACAGAAAACGTTACTTCTTCTGTAAATATTTGCAAGCAGTGTTCAGCTGAACTATAAAATCCTAAATTTAACATGGATATTATAATTAACTACTGAAATATCATTATGATTCAACTATACAATAAATTATAAAGCCTTCTCAGTTATAAACAGTTATGAAATTTATAATTGTATTTCATTTAGCAGAAGAGAATCAATCTATGAAATATATAAAACTTAGAAGTTGAAAAGATATATCGTCGATTTAATAAAAAAAGTCATTAAGTGACATTTCATAAACTCAAATAATTAAAAACTTGAATGAATTTTCCCTCAGTCAAATCAGAACATTGTGTAATTTTTGTAACTATATATGATATTTCAATGTTTTTTGAGTGCTCTTACTGAGTTTTTTTTGTCAATAAATAAAGTCAAAATTAACTTAAAAATTCAGTTCCTTCAAAAATATATCAAGTGACTTTTTGCAACGAACCAACGATATATATATATTTGAAATACAAATATAACTTCTATATATATTTCATATTCTTGTTGTATTAAGTTATTTTGTTTTCAAGTAAAAGGCCACTTAATCACCAATTAATTTATTTATTTTAAAATTTTAAAGACGGCGTTTCAGCCTGAAATGAATTTTCTACTTTGGTAGGTTTTTTAAATTTAAATCGCCCTTAATAGTCAAAATTGTAACTATGTAATTAAATTACTTAAAAGCATTTTTCATAAAGCAATGGTTGTAGAAAACAAATTTTGGTTAAAAACTAATAAAATAGTTGTTTTTTTTTTAATTTAAAAATCCTAAATATTTTGAACTAATTTTATCTGAATTTATATCATTTTATAGTTATCATTAAATAAAAAAGTATAGGAGTGATTAATTTCGTACATCATCCAAAAGGAATCAAAGGCATTATCGCAGTTTTACTCAATGTTAATGTTTATTTTTGAAAAAATATTAATAGGTATTCTCATTTTACTTTCGACAAATAAAAAAGCTTTAATTTTTTTAACTAAGAGAATCATACAGACAATTACATAGTAGTTTATGAAATAAGTCATGTTTATTTAGAGATTTCTACATTAAATAATTTTTAATTTCAATAAGATTATATTTTTAATTACAATGTATTTTACGACCCTTTAAATTCCTTTAAATGACGTGTGTCTAATTTTCATATTTGATATCATATGTAAATCAGTTTTTGTTTAGAATAAATAATAAACTTTTTGAGAATTTTCTTAAATTTTAATGTGTATAAATTTAGAATTGATATATATTCCGTCCATGATTTATTATTAATATATATATATATAACTAAAAATATATCCATGTGATCTTCTATATTTTAATAGGATTATTTGTAAACTCTAATTAAAAAAGTCTATAATTGGTGCTATTTATTGTAAATAACAATTTTAAGATTCATAGCAATCAAACCAAAGTACTATAACTCTGGCGTTGTTTTAAACATTCCATAACGTAAATTATATTAGGTATGTATTTATGTTATTATTAATTAAATGTATAGCGAAATCATTTCTTGTCGTTTGCGTGTAAAGAGAAAAAATATAAATAAATTTGTGTATTTTTTTTATTGTAAATATCTCAATTATTTTTAGGTCTAAAAAAAATTAAAATAAAAAAAAAGTATTCCAAGAAAAAAATGAAATTCTAAAGAAAGTTTCGGTTAAGGGGTGTTACATATTTCACTGGGAGTGGGGATTTTCCTTCTAGACTTTTATCATTTTTTTTTAATCTTTTCGTCAATAATTTCAAAACTGCAGCTGGTAGTATATTTAATGATTCACCAATTTAATATAAAACTGTGGAGAATTATTTTATGTATATTTACAAATCTTGTGATCTATATTATGTAAATAGCGAATGCATAAGTTGTTAAACATTAGTCCGAAATTGTATGTATAATTGTGTATGTATGTTAACTATTATATTACGCCTTATTTATTGATCGCTGTTATTTGTTAGTATGTGGCTTTGAAATGTATGTATGCGTGTGTATGTTGTGTTATGTATTAATTAACTGGATATATATGTACGTTATTTATGTAAATAGAATTCTTTTAAATTTTAATTGTACAATCAGTGTAATATGAATACACTTATACATTGTAATTGTACACATAAAAAAAAGTACACGGAACCTGGTATTAACAATAAGATTCGATTGTATTGTATGATATTCGTTTAGTTTATAATATTATTGGATGTATTATGTTGTAAATATTTCTCCCTTCACGATTTGAGAGTAGTCTTTAACTTTAATTCAATAAATGATGTAATTTATTTTTTATTGTTGCAAATAAAGTGTATGTATTATTTTCTATAAATTTTGCTGAATATTTTATTCACTTTCCTTTTATATATCCTCAACATTAATTGTAAAAATTATAGAAATTTTTTAAGTAGTCATTAAGGAATACCTGAATATATGATGGTGCACTAATGACTAACAGCCATGAATGGCGTGGAGAACATATTATTTATTATATAACATTGTTTGAATTTATTGCTTTAAAAAATTAAAATAAAACAGACTATTTTTAAATAAAAAAATAATAAATAGAAATTAAATAAAAATGTAAAAGCACATTGAAAACCAAACATAATAATAATGGATTTATAGCGGTTTATGACCAACAACAATCCACATCCATTGTTTATTTTATATGTTTTTCAGCGATATAAGTTGCTTTACTGGAGGTTTTAATTTTGTTTTGTAATTAAAAGTTCTATAAAACGTTTATTAAACAGTTTCATGGAGAAAAAATTCTAGAAAAACATTTGAAAATCGGACTCTTCAGAACTTGTTAAAAAAAAATCAATTAAAGGCTGCAATTGGTATCAGATATTTTAACACAATAATGAATTTAGTGGACCAGGTTTACCAATGGATGGAATTTTTTCAGTAACTTTGAAATTGAAATTGCTCAGATATGTAATTGATAAAACTGATATCAAAAGTAAAAATGTTTATTTATAAAACATTTTATTCAATTGCTATTAATTTCAAAGAAAGATGAAATTAAAAAGATTGATAATTCTCGAAGTATATCAGATCTACACGTGAACTTGAAACAGAACTAAATCAATCAAATAAAAATAGTTGCCAAAAGTTGTCGTAATTTTAATTATAACGTTCATTAAGTATAATAATCATGGTTTTACAATAGAACCGTATGTTATAGTGAAAAGTAAAAATGATGATGTGAACGTTATAGTATTAATTCTTATTCTTATATTAAGTTTCTTTCTAAGCCATTAACGAATATTTCAAATTATTTTGATGTTTATGATATTAAGCTGAAAACAGTGATAAGACAAGCAAGTTTTTAAAGCTCTAGAAGATTAAATATTAACCCAGTGAAAACGGGATGTAATGTGTGAAATCAAGTGAATTAAGTACTTGAAGAGAGATCGATTAGACTTCTATCCTCTATCGGAGAGGATCATTAGATCGATCACCAATCAACCTTTGGTTTCTGGTAATAAATAATCATGAATGTAATAATAATTAACAAAAACAATGTTGTAAAGTGCAAACCTAATATCAAGACCCAGTAGATAAAGCAGTATATTGATATAAAAGAGTAAATAGGTCAATAATTAAGACATACTAATTAGACCATAAAGTCGTAAAATAAAAATAGTTAACCTGATAACATTTAGTCAATTCAGGCCTCACCAGGACAGAAAAACAAGATCGGATATATGCAGAGAAAAGAAAAAATAGAAGAGAGTAAAAAAAACAACAACTAAGGTGTGAGCTTTAGACCTGATAGAAATGAAAACATCAACAAGGCAAGATTAATAATATGAAATATAAATTATAAATAATATCTAATTTATAAAGAGGATGAAATACTGAATTTTATGCACAGATCCGATTTTTAGTTTCTGAGGTATTTTAACACTAAACATACCATAACGGGTCAAATGACCCATTTTTAACTTTTCCATTGAAAATGCACGTATAATTTTATTGCGTTTGCACATTTGACTTCATGGCTTTTTCTAAGTAATTAATGTACAGTTATAAAAATATTTTTGTTTTGTTTTGTTTTGTTTATTCTGAGTAATACTTGTTGTATACCGATATCTACCACAACAGGTCATTTGACCCGGAGAGAATTTTTTTGTTTTATGAGATTATCTAGTCATATTTGTAGTCAGTAAGTTGCACATTCTTCCAAAGACTGTTGCTTAAAGTAGTTCAACGAAAATAGCTCAGAATAATTTCAAGAAAATATCAAATTTTAGATTGGAAATAGCTTTTTAGTGTAAGAAAAAGTGGCAAAAATTGAAAGTCCTGGTAAGTACCTAGCTTATATTTTATTTTGATAGCTATAGTAATACAGATCATTTTTTACCCAGAAAAATGTCGAAGCAAACAAGACAGTACAAGTTCTTAGAAGATATAAATAATATTGGCGAAGAGTTTTCAGAAATTAGTGAAGATGAATTTTCTGAAAATGAAGATATATCGGTTGCAAATAAAAATGAGTTTGATTCTACAGATACTGACGATGATGAGGAAAATATTGTGAATGTATGTAGTGGCCGAAAAAGAATAAGATTACTCACAAGTTCGGAAGAAAGTGAAGTAGAAATAAATGAAGAAAATGTTGCGAATGATGGATCTGTTTGGCAACAAATGCAAGTAGGTGGCACACCTGGAAGAGAACCACTGCGATGAACTATGAATTCAAAGTTTTTATTTTTTGCTTTTGTAATAGAAATGCTCAACATACTATTTTGTTTAATCATAATAAATTTAATTTATATTTTTATTTCCTTCCTAACATCCATATTTCATACATTCAAGCATGAAACATAAAGTCGGGTCATTTGATCCGCTATGGTAGAAATAGGTATATATTAAGTCTTGGTATGATTAGTGTTAATCCATATGTTCCATAAAACTCGTAGTAGTTTGGTTTTCTATACTATTTTTTCCCTTTTGCCTCTCTAACCAGGCGTCGCGTTAAGATACAATTTTGAGTAATAACCCAATATAGAGAGTATGATATGATAAACAGTTTCCTCGCTTACAGTATGCAGATCTAATTTTTATTTTCTGGGATATTTTACAAAATTAGTCTACTCCAGACGACTTTACCCGAGCGTTACACTTCGGAAATCTGACGGATCTATCCACTTTCCACAACAAATTGCAAAATGCGCCTAAAGAAGTTTTCACTTAAAAAAATACTGTGCATGACGTCACCAAACATCCAGACACATACTGAAGAATGGAAGGTTGCATAAACGTATTAGAGGAAGGTTATATTATTGGATGGTTTGTTGTTATGTACTTTTTCTAGTAAATGTGTTCTTTCTTTTTTGTTGTTCTGCATTTATATTATCTTGTTTTTTCTGTCCTACTGATGCCTGAATTGAAACTTTGAAGCATTAACTTTTTACCTGCATGTTAAAAACTGAAAGTTTTGTGGTTTGGAATTTCCCAGTTATACCATAATTACTTTATATATCTTTTAAAGCTATTTGCACATTTATATTTATATTTCAATATAATAATTTTCTATCACATTGAGAACAATTATAGTGAGATATGAATACATACATTCACACCATATTTATAGAAAACATAAAATTAACAAAAGTAAAATAATAATCAAAAACTATGTACTCTATGGAATTTCATGAAATTGATGTGGGACCTTCGAGGCACCAACCCGTACAATCCCTGAAAATATACCCGTCGTATCAATTTGACTACTGACAGACCGAAAAACAGACACCGAATCAAATTTGATACTTGATGGATGAAACCTAAAACGCGAGTGGAAATTTTCGATTCTGAGCAAACAATTTGTTTTAACATTCCGCACGAAAAAAAATCTTCCTCACCTTCCGTAGGGAGGAATCAATAGTAACTGAAATGTAGTGACATGGCCGTTATCATAAAACCGTTTTTTCAATTTGATAACATAGAACCGTCACTCTGACATCAGAGCGGTCAGGATGAATAAGTAAAGAATATTAAGTCTTCTGGACTGTCGATCTTTGTTAAAAAAATAAGCTCCGTTATTTCACAGTAATACAGACAGAACATTATTATTTCACATTGGTTATATTGATTTGTCGGCTTATTATCGTATATTTTGATTTATTTTCATTTACTCGTATATCGATTTGCTTTGTATCTCTTAGAAAATAGAAATAGAGATATAAAATAACTTTATTCTGAGACAAAGTCCTTTTAGAATAACAAAATAGTACATAATTAAAAGACTACCTCTGGCCAAAATAAAAAAATCTATATACAAAGACAAATTGACAATATAAAATGTCAGAGTATTTAAATAATGAATAATATCTAAACAGATCATTATCTTATTGTAACTATTGATACAAATTTATTTGTATAAGAGTAAAAATAATAAAAAAAAAACAATAGATGAATTCAGTGACATTGAGAGTAGGAAGATATTGTAAAATCCCTAGTGAAGTTTGGATGGTACTGTCATTTGATGATGAATGATATAATAAAAATGTATAATATCAAAAGCTTATCAAGCATCTGACTGTTTTTGGAATAGGAATTGGAATAGGAGGGTTTTGAATGTGGATATGGAGCGGAATGCAGAATTTGATAGGTAAGGAATTCCAGAAATTGACAGCGCGAGCAATAAAGGAGTTTTGAAATGAGTCAGATCTCTGAGAAGGGATGTACAGGTCAGAAGGTCGAGATCTTGTTGAAAGAGAATGGACTGAGGACTTGAATTGGAGAAGGTTGTAGGCTAAGAAGGAGGACGGTTGTTGATGATTTGATAAAGGAACGTACCTAGAAAATATTGTCTTCGAAAGAAGGGAAAGAGCCACCTTAACTCAGTGTAGTGGTGAGAGACATGGGAGTACCTCGGGGCACATCTTACGCAGCTATGCATTAATTTTTTCAGTCTATCACGGAGCTCCACCGAGAGGCCATCATACACCACACAGCTATAGTCAAAGTGGGGGAAGATGAGAGAGGAAATTAGGAGTCTACGGGTATGTTGATGTAGGGGATGGCGGAAGCGATGAAATAGTTTAAGGGTAGAAATTGTTCGTCGGGAAATGCGAGAAATATGGTAGTTCCAGAAGAGGGTTTGATCTATGAAAAATCCTAAATTTTTAGCAGAGGAGTAGAAGGAAATTAGCTGGTCATTATCCAGCATTTGATCCAATAAAGGGCTTCGATCCCATGACAATGGCCTGAGTTTTGGCAGCATTTAACCCTCATCAATTTATATTTACCTAGGCACTAATTCGAACAAGGTCTTCTTGAATCTTGGCAAATGCTACCAATAACTCTTATCAGAGTCTT